TATATATATATATATATATATGTATATATATATGTATATATATGTATATATATATATATGTATATATATATATATATGTATATATATATGTATATATGTATATATATATATGTATTTTAAGTACATTTAAGTACATGTACATTTACTAGTTGCTATTTTGTAGTTGCTATTTTGTCTCATTAAGAGTGCTGTCAGGAATGACTGACACTGTGGTCACCCTACTTGCCATTTCTGTAACCCTGTATCATATACATTAATTAGATCGTTGTTCATTTTCAGATGTGTCTTTCTTTCTTTTTTCTATGCGTGTGTCTGTTTTTCTGTCTGTCCGTGTCTCCAGAGCGCTCAGGCTTCACCATCCGGCCCGTGGCAGGGTATCTCTCCCCACGAGACTTCCTGGCAGGTCTGGCTTTCAGAGTGTTTCACTGCACTCAGTATGTCCGACACAGCTCAGAGCCTCTGTACACACCTGAGCCGTGAGTACACACACACACAGCGTGTTCCTCTTTCACTACTCGTCTGTTATTAGCAAATCCATTTTTAAACCACACGTGTGTCGATGTTTTTTGTGCTTCCTGCAGGGACACTTGCCACGAGCTGCTGGGTCACGTTCCTCTGCTGGCAGAGCCCAGCTTCGCCCAGTTCTCCCAGGAGCTCGGTTTGGCATCGCTCGGTGCTTCAGATGAAGATGTTCAGAAACTCGCCACGGTGACAGACACAGACTATATTTGTCCACAGACGTAGTTGAATACCATGAAGAATCAGCACAGGTTTCCTTGTGACATTCAGTGGAGTTCATATTTTGAAGTTGGTGTTCTTTGCCCCCATTTATAATTAAATCATGCCTTTATTGCTGTCATGAATCAGCCATTGTCAATAGAAAATTAATTTCACAAACAAGCAATAAAAAAACTAGTCTCCAATAGACATTAGTCAAGATTTAATCTTTTTCTTCAACAGTGTCTTTCTGTTTGCCACTCTCCCATAAAACTTGGACTGGTGAAAACTTGTGCAACAGTTGCTGCATGCACAGTCTCTCCCATCTCACCTGGTGAAACGTAACTCCTTCAAAGTGGTCACAGGTGTCTTAGTGGTGTCTCACTATTCTCCTTTTTGCAATGTTATTCAGTTTGTGAGGATGCCCTGCTCTTGCTAAATTTTCTTTGTTATAGGTTTCAGTGGTTAATGAAAGTTATCTCCATGAAAAATTGTTTGTGTCAATGTATATTTCTGATTACGTTCGTAAACCTTGCTGTCAATAGGCCTTACAGTTGTTTGTGATCAATTACCCAGAATGCCCCTTAGTTTTAGGTCTGAATGCTGGGATAAATGAGATGATGTCATGTTATTAACCTGTGTGTTGCAGTTGTACTTCTTCACGGTGGAGTTTGGTCTGTGCAAGCAGAATGGAAGGCTCAGAGCCTACGGAGCTGGCCTCCTCTCCTCCGTCAGTGAACTCAAGGTGATAAATATTCCTGCTTTTAAAAATGTTCGCAATCTGCAGCCGCAACCGCTGCTTAGTTTATTCTGATGTAGCATTCAGGTTGAGTAAATTTCCTTAGTGTGTATTTTGAAATAAAATAAAGTATTGAAAGTAAAAATGAATTTTCTTCTGTTAGCACGCTCTGTGCGGCAGAGCCAACGTCCTCCCCTTTGACCCCATGCTGACCTGCCTCCAGGAGTGCATGATAACCACGTTCCAAAAGGCTTACTTTGTGGCAGAAAGTTTTGACGAAGCCAAGAACAAAATGAGGTCAGTAGAAATATATAGATAGTGTGAGTATTTCAGATTTAACGTACTTCAGTATTTTTACATCAAGGTCCAAGATAACTTTATCGTCATTCACATCACACGTGGTACATGAGGTGGTACGAATTTGTGTACCCAAGGTCCCAGTTACATCCAACAATAGCAACAATATAAAGTATAAAAATATAATATGGTGTGCTAAACAGCAGCCTGGGGGAGTGGTGGAGCAGAGGCTAGAGAAGGTGGGCCTGTGATCAGAAGGTTGCCGGTTCGACTCCCTGGACCGACATCAAAATATGGGTGGAAAAGTTGAAGCACCCACACCTGCCTCCACCCTCATTTGCCCCACTTTGAGCCCTTGAGCAAGGCCTTTTACCTCCACCATTTGTTCTCCCAGGTGCCCTAGATTAGTGGTTCTCAAACTAGGGTCCCCGGACCCCTGGGGGCCTGTGAGCCGGTGCTTGGGTGTCTGCCAATTTTTTTTTTTTTTTTACAAGCAAGTAGATGTTTAACAACATGTTAGAATACACCAAAATGCAGGAAATCGTATCTACTTTATTCAAAAATTTCTGAGGGAGGACCATCGCTAGATCCCTGCCTTAGATGGCAGCTCTCTGCTCCACACATGAGGCTGTGGTAGCTTGGTGGTCAGTTGTGCTAGGAAGGGCATCCAGCATTAAAAACAGTGGCAGGGTCTTTGTGCGAGTTAGTTTGCTGTGAAGGGAGCAGCCAAAAGATAATTAAAAAAAGTATTGTTACATAACCTGCTGTTCATTCTGGACACTGAAGAAATGCAAAATTATCATCAAACATTTTTACTGAAAATTTAGACCCATTAGAAAATATATTCTTTTAAAGATTTGAAAACATTTCCAGCCACACTGATGAGGGGCCTCAGTCCTCAGAGCCACATCTGCAAAGATACAGGTCCACAACAAAATCAGTCAAGAGAAAACCATGACATTTTAAAATGATCTATTTACACGAGTAATAATCTAAAGGTTTATAATCCACCAGACTGTGAGGCTTAAAATTATAATGTGTGATGTGTAAGTGCTTATCCTGAAAGTCTAATTCTATTCAAAGGAACAGCAGTGGCTCAGTCACAGCAAACATTTTATTTCACAAGTCAGACCTAAAGGTTTTGATCACTGTAGTGTGAGAAGTTACACAAATCTTGACAAATGACTTTTATCAAACTCAAACTTATCAGTCAATGCAACTTCACTTCAGATAATTTAAGTTTTGGAAATGAAAAGTGTTTTAAAAAATCCTGCAATATTCCTTTTCTCCATCACATCATCATTTCCTTAAATCACAACAATTAAACACTTAATTTTCTACCTGTTTGTGTAAGTGATGTGGATGACGTATACGTGTTAATTATTCAAATATCTGTGCTTTGCCTGCAGGGAGTTTGCCAGGACACTTAAGCGTCCGTTCACAGTGCACTACAACCCGTACACCCAGAGTGTGGACATTCTGAAGGACACCAGTAACATCAACACTATGGTGAAAGACATCCGGCATGAGCTGGACATCGTAGAGGAGGCACTGAGCCGTCTCTGCAAGCACCAGAGAGACTGAAGGGTCGGCACAATCTCATGAAAGTCTGAGGATAGTGAAAGAAATGTACCTTTATTATTATTGTTATTATTGTTATTATTGTTATTGTTGAAGATGACGTACTACTAGCTTTCACTGAAACGGTTGTGCAGGGGTTCTCAAACTTTTAGGGTTCAGGGACCCCCTCATAACCCTCATGTTTATTAAATAATATTCTTCAATTTGTCTCTTTAATGCAATGGAAATATATGTGTAACATAAATATTTAAGACCTGTTCTTTAATAGTGTTGGTACAATTTTTACACTTTTAAACATTCATTCAAGACACACTTAATTAACAACATTTTTAATTTCAACGTCCAAAAATTACAGTTTTGATAAAATTAACAGCATCAAAACTTTACCTATTCACTTCATGAACATCATAAATGTAGCGCTACTTCTTCAAATTATTACAGAAAACTCTTTACATAAACCTGAACAGAATCATAACATCAGTAGTCATACCAAGGAACAGGGCTTCATTTGTAAAGGGATCGATGCCGGAACACAAAGAGCAGGCGGGCTGGTGGGGAGGGGTGGTGGTGCAGTGGGATCTGGGGGGTCCTCCCCCAGAACATTTTGAATATGTGATTTCCTGTATTTTGGTGTATTTTAATGAATGTTAAACATCTACAAGCTTGTAAAAAAA